AGTAATGGACGTCTATTTATTTAATAAAGTCTTGTGAAGGTTGTGGATATGATATGCCCACCTGACCATTCTCTCGATTTCACTCTTGAATTTCTGCAGTGCCTTTGATGGACTTCATATGGCTCACTAGATTCACCAGATATTTCTTCCTCAACAAAGTACTTTTTAATTTGGATGGTAACGTCTCACGAAATTTCGATACAGAATCCCCGTTAAACTGCTATAAATATCCATAGCTTTTTCAAAAAAAAAAAAAAATTGAAATCGTGAATTCAAAGATTCGGACAAAGTGGTACAGTGACAAATCAGAAGCGTACCGGCCAACAGAAGTCCATCAGAACGCCAGAGAACATTGTGATTGTGCGATTTTCTGCGACTGAAAATCCGAGGTGCTCAATTCGAAAACATGGTCGGGACCTGAATTGCCACTGTACTTTTTTTTTCTGAATCTTTGAACCCACGATTCCAATAAATTTTTTGACTAAGCATCACGCATACGCCGAATAATGTAACTGTTACAAAAACGTCGCCGTGCCGCGACATAGGAATCGTTCGATTTAAAAAAAACTCCTCGACTATAAACGCGCGTTGCTCGTTCGACCACTGCTCCGTGTTTACTGATAATCCGCAAGCAGTCTGTCAGCGCTAGCTCGCCCCCACAAATAATGAGTTGGATGTATGAGTTCGAAAAGGGAAATAACCTTTCGTTAATATCTTCTAATGAAAATACGCAAGTATTTATGCGTATGTATATTAATCAATTGAAATTTCAAATGTATTTATCATCGGTGACTATAGCGTTCTTTGTATTTTTAGGCCAAAGGAGGAGACATTGGCGCTTTTTTGTCTGCTCTGGACGGTGTAATAAATCTTATGGGCCAGGAAAGGGATATCATTCTGGTAGGAGACTTCAATGTTCTGTTTGGCTCGGCTCGGAGTGAATCGTCTGCAATCTTGTGGGGTCGTACGGTTTTGAACAGGTGGGGAGTCCTACCTGGACAATGTCTTTTTGAACTTTGCATCTGAGCGATTTTCGGCTGAGACTCTGAACCTGCATCTTTCGGATCATCTGGGTCAAACTCTTAGGTTTAACTTTAGAAAACACAATAAAATAATGTTTGAAAAAAAGGTTTTTCGACACATTATACCCCTCTGTGTAATGGGTCGAAAAACCCATGAACAAGTTTTATAGTTTGATTGGAGATCTTTCGTGAAATTTTGTGGATAATGGGGCTATTGGTCTTCAGGAGAAGTTCTAAGGGGTATGAAAGAACATTTACATCGGCTGTATGATATAGGTAAGCGGTACGACCGAGTAAGTGATTGGGAAATTTATAAGGAATTAAAAAAAAAACTATAGGGGAGCTATCAGGCAGGCAAAGAGATTGGCAAATGATAGAGCAATAAACCAAATTAAATTTATGTGGCAAATTATAAATTCAAAAAGAGGTAACATAAATAAGATAAAAAACAGCGACTGCCATATGCCGGCGCCGCAAGAATTTGGCAACTTCTTTTCTAATATAGCGGGGAGTCTAATGGAGGACATGCCTCAGGGGACTGCTGATCCTCTCTTGCATCTCAACGGAGCTCCATTTCATCAATTAAATTATCAAGAGATCCCCTATATAAAGATGAGGGATACAATAACACGATTAAAAAACAAAAAAAGTGCAGATATCTATGGTTTAACAGATGAGATTATAAGGTCGTGAATAACTTAATTTATGTTCCACTCACCAAACTTTTCAATCAATGTAATCGTGAGTGCGTCTTCCCGAGGATTCTAAAGAGAGCATTAATAACACCAGTATATAAAAAGGAAGATAAATCGCTGGTCGCAAATTACAGGCCGATCTCTTTGCTCCCTGTTATATCCAAGCTTTTTGAAAGGATCATGGCGACACAGATAGTGGATCTGTTTGAGACCCATGGGCTTTTTAGCGATCGACAATTTCGATTTAGACAGAAAAGCAGCACGACCCGGGGAATATTGGACCTTCTGGAGGGGATAAGGGACTCAGTTGAGGGTATGGAGTACTTTGATGCCTTGTTCTGTGACCTCAGCAAGGCTTTTGATTGCGTCACACATTCCCTTCTATTGAAAAAATTAAAATTCTACAACTTCAGTGGAAATAGTATTGAGCTGACGCGCTTATATCTTGCTGAGCATTACCGGGCGATGAGGGTGGATGGTGTGACCTCTGTGGAATCACTTCTGGATCTTGGAGTACCGCAGGGGTCGGTCCTCGGTCCGATTCTTTCCTTGATTTTTGTTAATGATCTGCCTTTCTGCTGTGAGAACGCTAAGTTTGGGCTGTTTGCGGATGACACAACTATTGCGGTGACTGGGGAGACGGAACAGGAGGCTAGGGACAAACTCACTAGGGGACGTGAAGCGGTAGAGGCATGGTTCCTCTCGAATCGTCTGTCGCTTAATGCTGACAAGACCCAACACATGACGTTCACCTTGAGAGATATCAGCGGCCGTTGTGATCTGGGATCGGTTAAGTTTCTTGGTGTCTGCCTAGATTCCAGATTGATCTGGCAACTCCACATAGAGGCAGTGTGCGCGGGACTCAGAGTTGGGGTTTTTGTCTTGAGAAATCTGGTAGGCTGTGTGTCAAAGGAACCACTTAGAACTGCCTATTTTGCTGCATTTAACAGCAAAATGGTGTATGGAATATTGGCTTGGGGAGCCCCGGCACACTATGCTAGGGTCTTTGGCCTACATAGGAGGGCTATGATACTCGTGGCTGGCCTGGGGTACAGGGAGGACTGTAGGGCTGCGTTCGCTGAGTGGGGGGTATTGACTTTTCCCTCTGTGTATATTCTAGAGAATCTGTTGCATGTCAGGGGTAACCTGGCCAAATATAGAGCTTATGAAGACCTCCATGACTACAGTACCGGACTTAAAGGTAACTTGGTATCGTCTTATTGCAGGCTTAAAAGGTGCCAATGTAGTCCTGACTTTATTGGTGTGAAGTTTTTTGATAAGCTTCCACATGAGACCAGAGAACTTCTGTTACAAAGGTTTAAAAAAGCTCTCAAAAGCTACTTAATACAAAAAGCATTTTACAGCGTGGAAGAATTCCTTGGTCTTGATGTTTCAGTATTTTAGTGTTATATATTATTTTAACTTTTACGGTAGGATATTTTAAATGTAGTGTTTTTTAGCATTGTTTTTTTATTAAGTAGTATTAAGTTCTTTAAAATTAGAAATAACAGGCACTTTGTAGTGTTAGTTATTGTATTATTAACTTGACATATGTAAGTGTAATTTGCATAATTTAACATGAATAAACTTGATTTGATTTGATTTGAGGTTGATGATAGTATTGAAACGTCGGCTATAAATTTTATTTTTGAAATTAATTCCGAAGAAGCTGAAAACTGAGTATTATTGAATCTTTCTGGACGGAAACATCTAAGTAACACTAAAATAAGCGTAGGGTTCCTGGTTGGTACTTGAAGCTTAAAATTCGAGCGATCCTACCGCTGATTTAGTATACTAGCTGACGAAAGTGGGCAGATTTTGTGTGTCAGAACAAGTTATTTCCTATGCCCATATTCACCCCGTTGAAAACTGAAATTACCATTGATGATTGCACATAATCTGCAATATTCTCCCTGCAGCCTTGAAGAGTGTTTGACACACTCATTAGGATGCTGCTACTTCCTATGTTTTATGCAATAATTACTATTTCATTGAATAAACTCTACCAAGAGCAAGAGCCGCTCATAATTTATCGACAAGCTCACAGCAAGTGGCAATAAATCCCAAAAGAATTACTGTTTGATTATTTATTTAGTAAATTTCAATCTCTAAAACACTCTTAGCGCTTACATTCATCTTTTTGTTTCGTTATAAATTAGGGAGTCATTGGATAAATCTTTATTTGCGTTAGTATTCCAATCCGACCACGGTTAAGGGCTGATTCGCGCTCGCTTGCGTTCAAACATGGATCGCATACAAGCAAAAATATTGTCTAAAAAAAAAGGTACCTATATTGGATTAGGGATTTGGTGTGGCGCATAGGCTCTAAAATGATCATTCGAGAGTTATTTTTTATTTAGTTAGAGTTAGCACCCTCGCCGACTTGGGTCGAAATATAGGATAAATTGAATTAGATATTTTGTGGAATAATTTATGAAATTACTGTCTATTTCTATCGGGTCTTCAAAAAAAAAACAATCAAACATTGCTATGGTTTTTTGAACGTATGTCTTAGCACTATCTTTCTTCAATTTTGTCAATGAACTTTAATGTCAAAATGTCATGTCAAAAATCCTGACCAATAAAGAAACAATAATGCGACATACGTTTTCGTATTCAAAGCAATCTTTGATTGTTTCTTTTCTTAAAGACCCGATATATTTCTGCCAGGGAATTTTCGAGGACACACCAAAATTTCTTATATTGTCAACTACTTAAGTAAATACCACTCTGTACATCAATTTTATTGAAGTGTGTCGACGAGTCAGCAATAATTTGGTACAAATACCACGCCGAGATCCATTACCGGCAGACTAAGGCTGGTGTAAAGTACCTCAATTGGGAAAAACCCCTCTAGAGTCTAGCTAAGTCTCCTCCCAGTGCAAACTACCTTTATTGGGAAAAGCAATTCTGGACCTATCTCAAACCCAGCTTCAGTCTTCAGTCACGCCAAGTGTACAGAGTGTGGGTACATAATACATAGTGCCCTAAGTAGTACGTCCCTCCGTAGAAGAGACGTCATGGTATTATTCCTAGGGTAATATTATTCTATATATTCAATACCTATCTTATTGTACTTATATTAAGCGAGTTTCTCTCTACCTGAACCCCATCTACGCCCCCAGGTCACGCTCCTGTTGAGACGTCCCAGGACGAAACGTATAGGGGTTGTGACAATATATAAAACGGCACACTTTGATACCTACTGCCTGTTTGTCAGTGTTATACCTGCTTGTCAACATTATACTTAAAAGCAATTTCGTTAAAATTACGCTGTACTCACCTAAATTAAGATATTTTTTGTGTACTGCTTCATAAGCTGTCCACTCAACGTTCTTGAATCGAGCCCTATCTTGCCGCACATGGTCTCCTTCGAGTTGTTCATTGGGATTTCTAGAATGAAAATAATTTAATAACATTTTGAAAGTTTGCTTTTTCTAAAAATATGTATAAATTATTATTAAATAATATTCTCGCGTATGTCGTTACCTATTTCACTTGTATCGGTTTCCAAGCTTGCCGCTTTTTTCTTGTTTCTTTTTAGAATAGGTACTCAGCTTTTATTCACAAAAAAACTTCAAAACATTCGATATTATCATAAAAATTGACAAAAATGAGCAAAAAACTTACGAAGTTACATAAAAATTGCAACATTTCTCTTGTCGTCTTGGTTATCTTATTATTTTATAAATTATGAGTGCCACCTACGATTTTTATTTCACTGTCTGAAAATTTTCGTATAATCATTTATTATTCTGACCCAAAAACAATTTGGAAAGTTTAGGATAGGTAGTAAAAAATAGAGAAAATATATGGCAGTCCTGGGAAATAAGAATTGTGTGTCATACAATCATTAAGTATGCATAGCTATCTACATATAGGCTATTTCATTGCAGTTGATAGCTCAAACCGAGGTTTAGGATCATAAAGTCATTATTACACCTATGGTTTACAATAGTTTTACAATCACTAACCCTGGATTTGAGCTATTAACTGCAATGAAATAATAGCAAAATTCTTGCTTTTGATTTTTTCAAAGAGATAAATATTTTTCAACTTTTTAGTATTGGTTTATTTCGTACGTGTATATGCGCAACCTATTTTTTCAACCACTAAAGCAAATTGTTTGTTTTTCAAATCTTCAGTACATTCATCCAAATAACTCTAACAGTCTTTTTATTGTACCTACACCCGCATTTTTATACAGTAAAATTCAATGTTTTTCAAACACCCCGGGGCGCGAAACTATATTAAAGCGATTTTTCCCTGCATATTTTCGAGCACATAAAATCGGTTTTGGGTCTTGAAATGCCGCGTGAACGTTACCTATTTTTTAAACTAGGTTATTCGCAACTGCGTTTAAAAAAAAATCATATTTCTCATTTCATTTGGAAACCTATTTGACATTTCAATTTAGGTGTTAGATTGACCAAATTGTTATTTTTTGAGTTGAAGCTTGTTGAGTACCTACCTATACCCCATGTCAGTTAGTGAGTCTTCCTTCACACTCCACATATCACCCATATTATATTGTAGCTGGTTTGTTCCCGCAGGTTCGTAGAATAGATATTATCTCTAACTAAACTATTGTGAAAATAGATGAACCTAATTCATTGATATTCCATAAATATCGCAAGAATTATAATTCATCTTAGTTATCTACTCGTTCTGCTACATAATCCGCTAGTAACAGATCCATAATCAAAATAATATTTGTCAGTTAATATAAAGCCACGAGCTCATAAATATTGATATTCTCCTAGCGTCATAGTCATAATCTTATCTCTTGTTTCAACACGATTTTGCCATTTACCGTGGGATCTATTATAGCTTTAAGGTCTATTTTATATCCTTTTAAAGTTCCTGTGAAAACATGGTAAATTTTTATAGGTTTAAGGTGAATTTCGCTGTAATGATTTTATTATAAAGTGATTGATTATGTTAGTTCTGTTATTTTTTTTTAATTAGAATAACATCTCAGTAAAAATGCATAGTACAGTAGCTACATCAGTTTCAAGTTGATGTATTAATACAATCATCATCATAGGGGATCACTCGATACCGAGTATAATTATCTCCCATTCTATTCTTAATATCGTCGATTGTGCGTTTTCTGATGAGTATATAAACCAATTCTGGAGCCGCACACTCTGCCACAGTCTTGGCACACTCAGCTTCTAGCAGCATTATCTCTTCCTCTGTTCTCTTGCTCCTTCCTGCGGTCCTATTTTCTATCTCGTGTCTGCGTCGCTGTTCTTCAAAAGTTTAAGTTTGTGCTCCGTCGTGGATTACTCGGCGTCGTTTCCCAGTCGTTGCTATCAATGCGGCACTTCGCCATATTTTCCTTAACAGTATCTTTGTAGCGTGTTTGTTGACCTTGATTTCGTTTTCCCTCTTTCACTTGACTGTAGAGAATCTGTCATGGAAAAGGTGTTTCGGGCATGCGGACGTTGGTGCTTAATGATGAGGGCTTCCATGCTAGTTGCTTTGGCCTCTTCTAAAACAATAATGTTCGTTCGTCGGTCTTGCCATTTAATCCCTAGGATCTTTCTTAGGTAACTCTGGTAGTATTTTTCTAGGCTTTTTATGTGTCTTCTGTAAGTGGTCCATGTTTCGCAGCTATATGTAAGTGATGGTATTACAACTGCATTGTAGATGCGAAGTTGATCTCAGCGCTGATGTCATGATTATTGACTCTCTCTAGAAGTTGACCAAACGCTGCGCTAGCACACTTTAAGCGATGTTGGATTTCAGCGTCAATGGTTGCAATTGCTGCCAGATGGCTCCAAGCGTATGAGTAGATTCTCCTGTATGCCTGGTTGAGTGCATTGATCATTGCCTGAAGACCTTCCTCTGTATTGGTATCACAAACTTATCATCCGCATATTGAAGTTCAATTATCCAGTGAGTGAGTAATATAACACTTTAATTTTAGCTTTACGGATGTGTATCTTGCAACGTTTTATTTTAGGTGAGTATATTGTTTTATTTTCTACCTAACTATTATAGATCCATAATACCTAGGAAACGAAATACGTTGAGATACCTATAACAACCTGAGGGCATTATAAGCCCAACGGGCGTTATGATCTATAACGCCCGCTTATAATACCCTGAGGTAATAATTTTCGGTCTGGCCAGGATTCGAACCCGGTCTACCATCAACGTTTCCCATATAATCGAGCGCGTTAACCAACACGACCACCATTGGTTTGCCTTATGAGATGTTTATAGATATATTAATTTATTTTGTTCCTAGGTAAAGGTACATGTCAAAATACAGAACAATATTCTGTCACACAAGTTTAACTGATTTTGTTTGGTACTAAATTGATGAAAGAACATTGTGTTGAGTAGAAAATAAAGCATTGTATGCACCACGGGGATTTTTAGTTTATAATGCCCTTCAGGCGAAATATATCCCTCAGGCCAGAGGCCCTCGGGCTAGTTTCACCTTCGGGCATTATAATCTACATAATCCCCTTGGTACATAAGTAGCTATTACTAAACCTTCTAAGTCCGGGAACAGATGTGTTTCATACAACATCGAATATCATATGGTTATGGTGTGAATGAAATTTTTCGATATTTTTTTAATAACTTGTAAAGGCTGACCAATTCGACTTATTGCTTAATAATGCTTGATAATAGGTCTGTTTCTGCAGAAATCACAAACCAGTCAGAGTAAATTTCATTGGTTGAAACTAGTTTTCTGACTGTTTCTGACTGTTTTCAACCAATGAAATTCGCTCTGACTGGTTTGTGATTTCTGCAGAAATAAACCTAATATTAATAAGCTCCACAGTCAATACTGAGTCTGGAAAAGAGCTCATTACAGTAATAAGTCTGGGACTGTTGAAAATTTTCATTTAAATTTTGTTGGTGCCTCTGGCTTCCTACACCGTCTCTATAGACTAGTGGATAGCTGCTTGGAGTTTGGTATATGGCTTGGGTTACGTTGAACAACATTTCGTGGTATCCATCTTAGAGTGCACGCTCTGCGAGTGCTGACTTTTCTGTCTGGGTTTTTGCAGCTGTATGGGACTGGATATACTCATTCTTCTTCTTTAAGTGTCTTGTCCTCTTCGAACGTTGGGAATCATTAGCGCTATCTGCACTTTGTCGACCGCTTTTCTGAAGAGACTTGTCGCAAATTCTTTAGCCAGGATAATCTTCGACGCCCGGGTCCTCTTCTGCTTTCGATCTTTCTTTCTATCATCAGTTTGAGAAGCCTTTATTTTTAGTTTCTGGCGATGTGTCCAAAGTATTCCAACTTTCGTTTTTTAAAGGGTGAGCATGACTTCGAGATCTTCTGACATTCCCGCAAGCACATCCACATTGCGCACTCTGTCCATCGATGATATTCTCAGCATCCGTCGATACGTCCATATTTCGAAAGCTTCCAGTTTTTTACACGGCGTCTGTTAAGTCCACGCTTTAATTCCATAATAGAGGATACTGAAGACGTCACAACGTAGTTCGAGTGCGAATGTAGACCGACAGACTTCGGCAAGACAACACAGGCTTTCTCTTTACACAGGATGCTCTGGCTTGTTCAATTCGGGCACGGACCTCCTGCATATTATTCCAGTTTTCATTGACTTGGTATCCAAGATATTTGTATGACTTAACGCGTTCGATTTGTTGGTTCTGTACCTGAAGAATACCTCCTCTAACTTGATTCTTATTAATTACCAAATGGATGGTTTTTTTGATGTTAAAATTTAAACCAACTTCTGCACTATTAGTTGCCACCTGGTCAAGTAAAATATGAAGACCCTACTCCGAGTCCGCGATTATAACGGTGTCGTCAGCGTACCTAAGGTTATTTATGTTAACGCCATTAGTCGAAATTCCTTCAGGGCAGTTTTCCAGGGCATCTTCGAATATTTTGTTTGAGTTGATGTTATAAAGTAACGGTGAAAGGATAAAACCCTGTCGGACACCCATTTTGATTCGAACTTCGCTTGAAATCTGTTTATCTACTTTAATTTGTGCAGTTCTGGATCTGCATATATACTCCTGCAGTTGCCAAAGAATTCAAAGAGTCTTTTACAGATCTCACTATTTGTTTTGTAGGTTCTGTTGGCTTGAAAAAAAGCATTTCATGTTTTTCGAATAGTCCGGCGATGATGTCTGTGATGTTTCTGATAATCTGGGATAGAAAAGCTATCAACATTTTTATTTAATTCTGGATAATCGAATTTTTTCTTCGAGAGCTTCTTTTGATTCCGCAGACCTTTTCTAGATGTCCCAATTTCTCACGAACATATTCTGGCTTACAAATCCGCTTCATACATTGGCTACGAGTTTTGATCACTCCTCCCTTAAATCGAAGGTTGTGCGTAGAATTCTTGTTCCCTCTCCGTTGGGATTTCTTTCCACCACTGCAT